TCCTTACGTCAACCGAATTCATTACGTTTTCTTTATGAAAATCATGAAGAATTTTGTGCTTTACCAACATTTGCTGTTATACCAGCTCAATCATTATCAATGAATTTAATTAGTTCAGGAAAACTTGGTTTTGATATTGATTTGTTACGAGTAAATTTTTATTTAAATAAATAATAAAAAACAAGTCGTTCTGGCTTTTTTTTTATCATAGGTTCTTCATGGTGAACAATATGTTGAATTATTTGAACCCTTACCAACATCGGGTACTGTGACATTAAAAGGAAAAGTTGTTGATGTCCTTGATAAAGGTTCTGGTGCTGTACTAGTCTATGATGGTAGGAAAGAATTTATATTCTATTAATTCTTTATTTATGATATATTTTCTAGTGGAAATGTTTGATGAAAAAGAAAAATTAATTGCTCTTAATCAATTCGTTATTTTTTCTGTTGGTTCAGGTGGTTTTGGTGGTAAAAAAAATAGTGAAAATCAACGAAAATCTCTTCCAGCACCACAACGAAAACCTGACCAAGTATGTCGTGAAACAACAAACATTGATCAAGCAGCACTTTATCGTTTAAATGGTGATTCAAATCCATTACATATTGATCCATCATTTGCATTAGCAGCTGGTATTTTTAAAACTATTATTCGTTTATGAAAAAGAAAATTAACTCTTGTTCTTTTTCTTTTGTTGCCAAGGTTTTTCACGTCCTATTTTACATGGCTTATGTTCATTCGGTTATGCTGCTCGACATGTTTTGCATACATATGCCAACGATAACCCAGCACTATTTAAAGCTATTAAAGTAGAGGAAAACTTATGAATTGCTATAACAATAAAGAAAAAAAATTATTTATAGGTGCGTTTCACGAAACCTGTTGAACCTGGTCAAACTATTGAAACACATATGTGGCGTGAAGGAAATCGAATCTTTTTTGAATCCAAGGTTTATTGTTTCAAAACTCATTCTTAATTATTTCTTTTTTTCTTTAAATTCTGAATAGGTACCAGAATCAAATCAAACAGTATTAACTGGTGGTTATGTTGATTTACATAATGTAGTTCTTAATACAAACACACCAGGCACTGCTCAAGTAAGTAACGAAAAAAAAAAAAAGAACTTAAATCTCAACCGTCATCTCTTACATATTATATCTCTCAGAGTAAATAAAGAACAGCAAAAATTTTTCTTTTGAGATAATGCATGTGATTAAATATCTTTGAAACTAGCAAATCTTTTATTTGTTTTCTTTTCGTATATCAAAATGACTAAAGAGGTACAACACATAAAAAATGAATTTTTTAATTCTTTTTCATTATTTAAAACAAAATTTAAGGAAAATTCAACGACTACAACAAAAACAACACCATCATCAAGTGTAGGATTAAAAGCTAAAATAGCTTTTGATGAAATAAATAAACGTGCTAAAAGTCAACCAGACCTTGTAAAAAAAGTTGGTGCGATCATTGTATTTGATATAACAAAAGATGGAAATGTTCAACAAAGTTGGAGTAAGTGACAAGAATACGCATACATACAAATAAATTAATATTTCACATATTCATTTATTTATTTTATTTTATGCTGTTTTTCAGCTATTGATGGAAAAAAAGGTAGTATTTATGAAGGTAAACCCGTAGAAGGAACAACAGCACAAGTTACAATTACAGTCGATGATAATGATTTTGTAGAATTGGCTTCAGGCAAAGCTAACGCACCTGCCGTATGTATTAACATTTAAAATCTATTATATACAAATGTATTCTTTTTATTTTATAGCTTTTTGCCAAAGGTAAATTGAAAGTAAAAGGCAATGTGATGTTAGCACAAAAATTATCTACATTATTCAAAGATCAAGCTAAATTATAAAGACGAACGACAATAATTCTAAAGGAAAAAAAAAAGAAGTTTTCTTTTGTTTTGATTATAACGATTCAAGATTTTAGTGGTTTCGTTTTTATTATCACATTGTGATTATCATAAATAGATTTTTCTTTTGTTTTTAAATAAACGTGTATCAATATATAATTAAAATGTATCTTCTATTAATTATATCCGCTTTTGATTGAGAAAGGAAATGATGAAAGATATAACAAGCCTTTGTTTTGTTTTATTTGGAGTAAAGATTCGTTAGACTAGATACTATTATATATCTATAAGTGTGCATGTTTGAATATATTTTATTTTGAAATCATAAATTAAATAGTTGTTTCGCTATTTAATATATTTATCTTGTATGTTTTATATGATGCTTGAGGTTTTCTCTTTTTCTACTCACGTTACAATAGAAACATCAAAAGCAGAAGAAAACAGATATTATTAAACCAAAACAAGGGAAACAATAAAAATGTCGAGATGTATATATTATCGGATGTAGGTCGGTAAACTGGGGATTAGCAAAGAATATAATGACGTATGAGATAGCAAAAGGAAACGAATAATAAGAATATGATCTTATCTACATAGCTTATTATGATAGATAATTGTATAGATTTAAAAATGTTTGTAATAACTTCTACTTTAATCTTTGTCTTTTTTTCTTTCTTATTGTATTTCTTTTACATAGTTCTTCATGACCATTTTTAGGGTCATTACATGTTTCACTAGTCATTATCATCAATGTAAAAAAGATTTATTATACACATATATCTACTTCAACAAATGACAACAGGTTTATTTATCTAGAATATGTATTTTATGTTTGATATATACTTAACTAGTACTACTCAAACATATAATTACAAAAAAAACAAAGAGATCATCCTACTTACAATTTGAATCTATGGAAATAAGATTCTCTACGTATTGTCTGGTATTGACTAGTTACTTAAAATAAAAAAATATTGAACCTAAAGTTCAATATCATATAAACAAAAAAAAATCAAGAGCTATATATTATATATACATGAAAGATATTTCTATCAATAGAAAAATAATGGAATCACAGCATTGAATAAAATCATTTGTTTTGTTATGTGTTCATTGAATAACACTACCTGTTACGAACAAGTAGCATAAAAGACTAAAATACAAAACAAAAAAAAAACCGTCTATTGGGTAGAAATTAATTGATATAGGTTACTTCTTTCTTTTGGCATTTAAAATCGAAATAGAGAAACAAAATATAAATGTGAATAAGAGATGGATGATGAAGGTGACTCGTTGCCCATTCTATTTCTATTTCTATTTCTATAATCGTTGTCATTCGCTAAATAGATCGGATCATGTTTGTCAGCGTGTCGTGCTTGTTCGTTAATATTTCTCGCCTTTCTATCGTTTACTTTTTTTTTCTGCTCTTTATTCATTTTCTTTCTCTCTCTCTCTCTCTCTTTGTTTCTCTTGCATTGTAAAATAAGAAGAACGACTGTAATAATAGCAGTAGCAGAAAACGAGCTACAATGCATAGTTAATAAGACAGAGTATTGATTATTTGGAATTCAACACACATAGTCATAAGGGTCCTTCTTTTGTTTCCGATTACCTATGAGTGAATTCGGCACTAATCGACATTGTTGGTCATGGCGAAGTTGTTTTGCAGCTGTAAAACATAATAAAAGAAAAATAAGGAAACAACAAGATCTTAAACCTTAGTAAGTCAACTATGACAATCGTTTTTTTTTTGTTAAAGTTGAAAAAGAAAATTATATGTATCTATACATATATAGTCTGATATTTTGATTTTTGTAGTCAAGAAAAACTTTCTCCAAATGATCATATTCATAATACAGTTTTACATACAGTTGATGAAAATTCAAATATTTTACATGATACTAATTTATCATCTAAAAATAAAATATCCAATGAATATAATCAACATTTAACATTAGATATAAATAATCATTTAATTGATGATAATAATATACAACAAACAATTGATGATATTAATTCAATAATAATAAATCAAAAAACATCATCATCAACAATACGAACAACACAATTAGATATTATTGTAGAAGATTCAAATGAAGAAAATTCTGATGATGGTGATGAAACAATACAACCTATCAGGTAGATAGATGAATTCTGTTTCTTTATTTTTGGTATTGATTATATTTTGATTTCGATTTATTATAGATTATGTTGTGATAGTGAATTAATTAATGATTGTCATGATCTTTATAATCGTTTATTCGATTTAAGTAAAACAAATCATGTTATAAAACAATTCAATGATAGTGATTATTTATTTAATGAATTTATACGTCAAATAGGTAAATTAAAAGTAAAAATAGATGATATTAAACGAACTAGTATCGAAATACCACGTCATGTGGAATTACTTGAAGCAAGGTAAATAATAATGAAAATTAATAAAATTATTATTTTATTTTTATATAGATACTCAACATTATTAGCTACTATTGAAAGTCTTTCATTATTATTAAAAATTGGTCAAATTTTATCATTTCATTCTTTTATTAATAAACTTATATATTCTATTGAACAAAGAATAGAACAATTCAATAGATATATTAAATTATCGTCATCGATCAATCTACGTCAACAACGACAAGATCTAAATGATGATGATTTTCTGTCATTTCGTAGTGCACTTTCATCATATGAACATCTTTTAACAATGTCGTCATGATATTCATTTCGTTTATATCTATGTATTTATATTTAGTAGCATTTCAATTTTTTTTGTTTTCTAATGGAAACAATCATTTGTTTGTCTGTTGAGATGGTTTTTATTAAACATATGAAACAAAATGCCTAGATCTTTCTCTTACTGGTTAATAATTCTCTAGGTATTGGACATTTTTTCACCAGCGTATATTTGATGAATCATATAAATACATACATATACAAAGTAGTACTAATATATACTTTACTCTACGTATTGCTATTGGTTCTAGTTTTCTGTTATCTAAATAAGAGTTCGTCAACAAGAAAAACTGTTTTTTCATTAGCAATCTAAGCGTATATCGTCTTCTATGAAACATCCTAAGAAATATTTATATCATTGAGAAAAAAAAACAGAAAAAGATAAAAGCATGTTTTACCAGACTGTTATTACTACGAATATTATTATTGTTTTAACTTTTGTGTCCATAATTAATACTCAACATTTACCATTGTGTGATTCATTAAATGAAATTAAAAATAATGAAAATAATACGGATCATAATGAAATAAAAATTCGACGTGTACGTGCTCTTTGTGATGCTATTTATCCATCTCGAACAATGTCGAATCATAATGAATTAGATTTAATACCAGATTTTGATTTAGCTCGAATTGATTCAGGTACATATATTCAACAATATTTATTGATAACATTAAAATTTTGAAATTATAATTCAGACAATGATGCTAATGAAATATTAAAACGATTTCGTCGGGGTCGTGGTATGTATCAATTCGATCCAAAGAGAAAATGCCGAAGGAAAAAAATAGCGAAACAAAATTCGTTGACAATGCTTCAGACGTCATTAATTGACTCTGTTAAGAGTGGAATATGGGTATAAGTGTGGGTGTAGATGTAAGTGCAAAGAGAAGACTGATAATCAAATGCACCTCTCACACACTGACACCCACGCTGATCCACATACAGGAGCATTTAGTTTCGTCGTTAGTTTTGTTATTGAATATTTTTTATAGACTATGATCTCTTGTTGGTGTGCTTACGCATTTCTCAGTTTTTCGTATGCAATAGAACATCTGTATCTATGCTGGTTACGTATCTCCAAATAAACTTTTTTCGCTATTTTTTCCTTGGATATTTTTTCTTTTGATAAAATTAATGCTATTCATCGTTTCGTATCAGGTGGTGGTGGTGGTGGTGGTCGTGGTGGTGGTGGTGGTGGTGGTCGTGGTGGTGGTGGTGGTGGTCGTTCAGGTGGTGGTAGTCGGTCGAGTGGCAGCCGATTCAGTAGTAGTTTTAGTAGAAGTAGTAGTAGTAGCAGTGGTTCACGGTTTTTTGGTGGTAAGACTTACTGTTTTTTTGAATACGAAAATTTTACATAAACAAAAATTTAGGCAGTCGATCTTCATCATCTAGTGGATCATCACGAATCTTCAGTCGTAAATCATAACGAAAAAATTCTTTTTTTAAATATATTTAGTTCTATTTCATAACGTCGTTTGTTTCAGGTAGTAGTAGTGGTTCATCATCCTCATCTGGTAGTGGTTCTCGAATTTTTTCTCGTCAGTATAAAAATTAAATAAAATAAGAAAAAAAAAGGCTGTAGTAATGAAAAAAAAACTGGTATTGATAGGTTCAACATCATCGAATACCGGTGGACAACATCGTATTCGTCAGGCAGTACGAACAATGTTTCGGCATACACCATCAGGACAAACTAGTAGAATATTTTACTTTAATTGATATGAAATATTTCTATTTTTCTTTGAAGGAATCTCATCTGGGAGTGGATTTCCAGGTACGAGCGGAAGTAAACCTGGTTTAAGTGATAAATTTCGTAAGTCGCTGACTACTTTAAGAATTAGTCGAAACAGTTCTTTTTGGTAGGACAAATTACACATGGAGGTGGCAGTGGTAGTGGATTTAATTCAAGAATAGCCGGAGGTGGATTTGGAACCGGAGGCAGTGGTAGTGGGGGTAATGTTTGGGTATATACAGTTGTTTTTAAGATGTCGATTATGTATCAATTAATATATGATTTCTATTAAGGTTCGAACAGGAAAAAAGTTTCTGCCACAAGCTGTTCGCTTTGGCAAAAGGTATTATCAACGACGAAAATATAATAAGGGCATGTATGCTGGTATAGGTTATTATGGTGGTAGTCATCATCATCCATATCCTGGATATTATTATCCGCATGGTACGTACAGAAAGATGATTTAACCATAGACCAATCAATTGTTTGTTCAGAAAACTATGGTTATCCACCTGTTGTTGATACTCCTCCTGAAATAATAGAGGGCAAAACGCCAACCGTTTTTTACTGTATTCAAGAAGATCTTAATACAACATTAGTTAATCAAACATTGAATGATGAAGGCTTTGGTACATGTAATGTATCAGGTATATTAGTAAAGTGCCCAATTGAAATTGAATGTAAAACAAATGAAGCTGATAATTGTTGTGAAGGTAATTATATTCATTTTTTGAAATACGATCTAAAAGAAGTAATGAAGTATGAGAATAAAAATTTAGATTCTTGCACACCGATACAGACGCTAGTGAGTAGAAAACATCAGATCTAAGCATTTTTGGACGGCGATCTGGTCGGGTACAGATCTAGGCAAGATTCAATGGACTCTACTAGTCAGAGATTCTCACAAGTCGTGAAAGATGCCCTAGATATGTCTCTCCTTTCTATCATAATCGTTGTTAATATACCGTTAAAGATTGTAAATCAATAATGTCTCGTTCTCATGTATGAACAATGTGCTTCTTGCATTCTTTGAGAATTAATTAAAAGAATAATGAAAAAATGTGTTCCAAAAAAGATAGAATAAATCAATCTTTTGTAATTAGCAATGACAGCTACACCATGTTTCATATTTTAATCTCTCATGAATTACGTTAACAGCTTTTATTTTATGTTGCTCCTATCTATAGGAATATAATTTAGATGAACAAGGTACACCATATTGTTGTGGTGGTCCAATACCTGAAGAATATGCCTCAATATATGGTGGTTTTGAAGATAATATGTATGATGCTGCAGGAAGTTTTAATAAAATGTATGAAATCATCAATAATTGTTTCTATTCTATATAATAACCACTATTTGTTTTTATTAGATTGAGTATCATTACAACAACGTCTGTACTTTTAGCTACCATATGTTTTACCATATGGCACGGACGAGGACAATAAAATAGATCCCGCTAACATTTATATACATTTCGTGCATGATATTTATACATTATGCTTGTTTTACACCTTTATTTCAAATAAATATTATATGATTTTCCTTTTTTTCCCGATATAATTCAATTATTGTGTTTTTTTAAACAAAAAAAAAATTAATTTCTTTCATTTAATATGCACAACATAAAAGAATGAAAAAAATAAAGTAGAATTTGTACCACGAATTTAATCGACTCAATCGATGTTGATAGTTTTTTTTTTAATTTAATTAGTATTTTTATTGTTGACAAGAGTGTATGGTAAACCATATAAAGATAAAAGAAAATCACTTTTGCGTTTGACATATGTGTTTTCCTTTGGATAAAATTTTATATGATTTTTTTCATTGCCTTGATCATCATTAAAATGAAATTGACGAAGTTGAGAAGGTGGTATATTTTTATAATTCTTAAAAGAACATACATATATATATTTATTTATTTATCTTTCTTCATAAATTAATCTCTTAACCTGATGAATTATTCGACTTTCAACCTTATTTAAATATAAAATCGACATAACGAAAAAGAGAGCCATTAATGAGCAAATTAATTTTGACATCTTGATAATAAATGCTTTTGTAAGATAAAGAATAAGCCTACAAATAAAATAAATCACAGTTATATTTTCTGTTTTTATCAAAAAAATACTTTTGCCTTCAATATGAAACATTCCAATAAAAAAAGTCAAGTAGAGCAAATGTGAAAAGATTAAAAGAAAAGATTGATTTGCTCTTCCTTAAACCACATATATAGAACATAATTGATCAACGAAGGAATAAATATCCTTTCTAGCTTATTTTCATCTTTACTCAAAAATAAAAAAAATTCACAATACCTTTGTCTCTAGTTCACCTACCGTCAATAATGTTTTTCTTTCGATGAATTAATCAGAGAAAAACTCCTTGAAAACATTCGCTTTATATTCAACTTCCAAAGTAATTTTATCTAATAAAGTTTGATTTACAGTGAGGATACAAACTGTCTATCTTATTTTTCCCAATTTAAATGACAATAATATGTCAAAGTACGTTTTTTTTTGACGCAAATTACTAAGAAATTGTTTGATTTACGAGTTATTCTAGGTTCAGAAACAGCTATTCATATGATATGCACCCAAATTCCATTTATATCTATCACTAAAAAAAGAAAGATGAATAGAAGAAGGAGAGAAAGAGAGAGTGAAATAAAAGAAAAAATAACATATAATCTCTTTTAATATTCCAATTGAAATCATTATAATACAATTAAAGACTTTAGTGTCGTTTTTCATTTTCTAATTCATTGGAACATATGCCAATAGCATGCAATGAGAGTCAAAGGACAAGATTCTTGATATTATACTCTCAGCTTTTTCTATTGTAGTTAGTAAAAATGAATTAATTGTTGATGATGACTTATGTCACGCAGATGTTCATTTAATGATATATTAACAATAATAACTATGTTAAAGTCAACAAGTATCATTTTGCAATTTAAAATAAAATCTAAAGATTCATATACATTTTATTTCCGAAAAGAAAAAAAAAAGAATAATGTTAAATCTTAAAAAATGAGTATTTACAATCAACAAAAAAAAACAAAATTATTCTTTATGTTGAGCGGATATAGTTTTGCTAATGAGAAAATCATATCGACGTTGTTAATTAATTGTTTGACTTAATTTATTTTTTATATTTCATTCATAATCAGTTATTTTATTTTTTTTTCTTGTCCGAATTATTTCAATTTAAGATTCAATCGGTATGCGAAAATTTAAAGACTATATACAACTATCAAATACTAGCATTATGTTCGAGCCTACACTTCAGCTGTGCATCATACTTGACTAACTCGGCGCTATTTTGTGTATATATATATCAAGTTATTCGTTTGCTGATGTTCTGTACATTTATCTACATAGCTCTAAATTGTAATCATCGCTCATACTTCATTTTATCTTGACTCATTGTTTTATGTACTTTATTATAGTTGCTTTTTTTATAAGTTGTCTATATCAGCAGTATGTACTCTTAGATCTTACTATAGATAAAGCGTAAAATAAATGACAAATAATTAAAAAAAATGATCATTAGAGACTATGATAAAATCAAGTGCAAGGTCAAATTAAAATTTTATATTACTTATGTATATATATTAGTGTAAATTTGCTCAGAATTTTCTTTCTCGGGCATTTAATTGCAACTAAAGATGTTTATCATTGACTGATTCTAGTAAACAAATAATATATACGAAGATATTTTGTCTTATATAATATCATATGTCGATAATTTGCTAGAAGTTTACTCAATTGTATAGTAATCATCTTTAGTTTATCTTAAAATGAATAAGAAATTACTATTTGGTATACTTAAAAAAACATAGTAATAATATACGAAAGCTGGAAGCGTATGAAACAACAATTTCAATCTTTCTTTCCTGTAGGAACAGTAGTATTCATAGGATACGATTAAAGGTGTGCGGAACCAATGTAGTTCTGGGTCCAGATTCTGGTCATGATTCTAGTCCAAGGCCGGTCCTAACAACTTCTCTTCTAGTAGTCCTGGTGATTTTAGTTTTTCAGTTTCCGGTCTAGAAAAAACTATTCCACAATTTATTCGTAATACATCTAAAATAATTCTTCAATACTCTTTTTTTTTTGATTTATTTAATAGATGACTAGTACTTCTTTGAGTCATCGCTGTTGAATTATATTCTGATTCATATGATTTATAAGATAATATGCTGTAAACAATTAAATATTTTACTATAAACTTGAGTCTCGTTCGCGGCAACTTTTTTCTCGTAGTTCTGGTTCCAGTTTTCAGCAACAACTCATTTCCCGCGCCTGAGTTCCACATTATATATGTGATTGCAAAGTAATATATGTATGCTGTACATAGACACTTTTGAAGTATGTATAAACAAGGTTTCATAATAATATAATAACCAGCTTTTTTTTTTTATAAAGTGAGATTTACTAATCTATTGAATAAATACTAAATTTCATCTCAATTTATTTATGTATACCTCTCGTCTTTCTTATTTGATAAGCAATACTACGGAATATATAGCAAAAAGAGACTTGCGTAGAAGCATTCAGAAATAAGAAAGATTTTCTTTTTTGTTTTATTTGTCCTATTGATAAAATGAATTATTTAAAGTTGAATATGTCAACTATTGAAGTATTGAGAGATTCTTAAAAAAATGTGTTATTTTTACTTTTATTTTACTTTAATTGTTAATAAAAACTATTAACACATAAAACATATTCAATATGATAATTTAATTACTCAATATAATACTTGTTATTTTGCCCATTGTCACCAATACAAAGAAAAGAATAGTCAAACTCAAGGCAATACTATTTTGTAAACAATAGAACATGGCAGAATTACGAGACAAAAGACATTTATCAAAAATCTCTGTGTACAAATTAAGTTATAGTTCACGATGATTTCATAAGAAAATTATAACAAAACATTCTTCAAACAATACAGTAAATGTATAACAGTACATGATAGATACTTTTATAATCGTTTTCTTGCATCTGTTATATAATCATATAAAAATTAAACTATACAAATATTGCGACAATGTCAATATGTCATTTCTGCAATGACTGATTTCATTAGATTGTAAGAATATTTCGAAAACAATTTCAATACTAATAAATCATTATACTGAAAAAATCGACTAATATTTCTTGTTATAGAACATATTTATATCAAATCCAGTCAATTTTTGACCATTAGTTATTAATATAAAAAATAAAACGTTTTAGTCTTCATTCACTAAGTTTTATTAATTTCAAAATTATACTTAATGAAAACATGAATTTACAAAAGAACATTGTTGAGAATTTCTTCTTCTCCTGTTTCACTGTAACAAGAGTCATTTTTCATTATCATTTCTAAATATAACTTCCCGACTTTTCTTCTTACTATATTAACCAATTTAGTAAAAGTTTATGTTATGAATTGAGCATAGAAAAAAACGTATGTTTGTACTTTTTTTTCTTTCTTCTTTCAACCAAAAACATAAATATTCTATTCAAATTGCTTTATACATTGTCAAACAATGTTTTATTGATATGTCGAAAATACAAGATTGTCATAGTATAGAAAAGTATCGAGTTTGTCAGTTAATTATTCTTTTTCATTTTTATGTATAAAGAGAAGTAGGTCTTTTGGTCGATCTATCATTCTTTCTTTTCTTTTTTTTTTTTCTTCCCAACACATATTCTTGTTTCTTCTTATGACCGACTCGTTGTTGCCTGCTTCCGTCGAGTCAAACTTTTTTTTTTTTTTTACATGTCGTTCTTGCTGCCGATGTTATACATTAAACGAGTGCACTCGCTTTACTACCGACGACGAAGCTGTCGGGGTGCGATAGAGAATCATACAGAACGAAAGAGAAAAAATGAAGAAAAGCAAACTAAAACCCATCGACCAATTATATACCCTTACACATACACATTTCATTGTTAACGACGTCGTTTCTTTTTTTTTTTCTTCTCTCTCCTTCTCCGTGTTACCGGCTGGTGGAAACTTAACCAAATTGTGCGCCAATAGTGAAAATCTCGCTCTAGTTGGACCATTTGCGACCAATGTAAGTAGCAACGAAGCTCGGGTTGGTTGTCCGATTCCCACCAGTTGATTTTGAGACAGAGAGAAGAGAAAAAAAAACAGAACATAACATACATTGAAAAAAAAAAAACATAAAAATAAAAATGACATCAGGAAATTCTTATTGTGATGCGATATTGACAATAATGAAATATCATCCAAAATCATTTTCAATGAGGTATATTCGAGAATAAAAACGAAAAAAAAAATAAAGCTTTTTAGAATTTTTGTATTTTATCTATAAAATTTTCATTTGTTTTTTTTTATCTTATTTCTTCTTTGAATAGTCCGTTTAAACAAAAATGGATTCATCTGGTTCTCAACAAAATTCATCAGGAACTACAAGTGGAAATGTTATTAC